ATCCATGGGTTGCTTTATATTCCCCCCTCTCCCCATACACACACACACATATACCCCTCCCCTCAGCACTGATTGGCCAGAATTAAATTACATCACTGCTGTGCCTTAAGCATGTCCATCCTTATGTTGATTGGATGGAGTGAAGTGACATCACCTGTTGTTGAGTCTGATGACTCAACATGGTGTTGACTGGATGAAGGAAAACGACATCACAGGAAGTTGCTTGTGTTATCACTTCCTGTGACTAGCTCCGATTGGACCAGAGTAAATTACGCTGGGGGAAGAAGTTGGTGGGGGAGGATGCAGGGATTTGCTGTTCCATTGTGGTCTGTGCTTTGTGCTGATTGGCTGACAAAATGACATCACAGTTTATGACATCATTACACAAGTTGATCAGAGAGTATTAAATTTTATCAGAGCATGTGACATCATCTCTTGGGCCTCCCTGGTCAGCAGGAAATGACATCACAAGCGATTATATGTGACATAATTGCTTGTGATTTCTGATTGGTCTGAATGAAATGATATCACACAAAGATTGCATGTAACTTAGTTATGTGTGCTTTTCTAATTGGCCAGAAAGAAATGATGTAATTAGGATTATATGTGACATTACTTGTGCTTCTCTGATTGATCAGAAAGAAATGATATCACGGGGGACATGCTGACATCACAAAATATTCACCCACGATGTTCGTTTTTTCTGACCAATGCTCTCCGTCCTGAGTAGGGGGCCCGGCATAACATCATCCCCCACTGAACCATGTGTTCCCTCCCATGTAGTGGAGCCCGCCGAGAGCAGCCAGAGCTGGGGCAGACAGGCACCACGCCGCACAGATGAGGCCTGGAATGGGGAGCGCCGCCCTGGCAAGAATTGGGGTCCCGGATCCCCCAAGCCCTGGGAGGGCAGCACCCAAAATGGCAGGTAGGGGATGCTGCTTCCCCTCTCCCATACACCCTTCCTTTCCCCTCCCTAAGCCCCTCACCTTGGTGTTTGGGGTTGGGGGAGAAATCCCGGCTGACCCCCATGATCACTAACTATAATATTAATAATGTTGAGCCAGGTACTGAGATGGGAGCCAGGATTCCTGGGTTCTTTCCCAGCTTGGGGAGGGGAGTGGGGTCTAGTGGGTTAGAGCAGGAGGGCTGGGAGTCAGGATTCCTGGGTCTTCGTTGTCCCTCCTCTAGCTGCTGCTCCTGGCTGTCCCCCCTCCCTGTCCCTCTCAGGATTCTAATCCCCACCCCATCCCCTGCAGAAGGAGGTCCCGGCCGGAGGAGACAACCTGGTATGTTGAGCCGGAGGAGCCCAATCCTGTGGAGCCGGCCCCACCCCAGCCTGCCCTGAACGGTGAGTCCCCATGGGGGAGGGGACACGGGCTGGCTCTGGTGTCAGGCCCAGACTCCCCAGCAAAGGGCCTGGGGAATTCAGCACCCAGAGAGCGTGTCACTGCATGTACGAGAGGAGCTCCTGCTGATGTGCTGAGCACCACACGCTGCCCTCGACTGAGGTCAGGACTGGGCAGCACATGCTCCCCCTGCTGAGATCATGGCCCCCCTTGGGCCCAGCACCGCACAGACCCCCCTGGCTGTGAGCAGGGGCCCCCTTGGGCTGGGCTCCACACAGACCCCCCCCAGCTGTGATCAGGGGCCCCCCTTGGGCCCAGCACTGCACCAACGCACAGAGAGACAGTCCCTGGCCCAAAGAGCTCACAGTCTGAATAGCTGAGTGTGTGTGAAGATGGATGGGGGCGGAGGAAGAGGGGGGGGTGGATGCAAGGGACCTGTGGGAGGGTGAATGGATGGAGGGGAATTTGCTGGGGGGAATGGGACATGCTGGCTGTGTGTTCTGTTCCCTGCACTATCCCAGGCAGGGGATTCCCAGCATGGGCGTTGTTGCTTATGGCTCTGTCCCTTCCTTGCAGGTGATGTCCTCTCTCTAGGCCCCAACGGGACCCAGGAGTCCGAGGAGCAGCGGGCACCGGCTCCGGAGCGTATCAGCACCCCCAAACTCATCCAGAGAGCACTGCTGAGAGGCACAGCACTGCTGGCCTCTCTTGGGCTGGGCCGGGACCTGTCACAGGCCCGACGGGAGGAGAAGGGGGAGCCCCCACCCGTGTCCACCCCCCCGCCTTCTCCTGAGCTCATCCGCTTCTCCCCCAAGGACACACACTGCCCCGCCCTGCTGGTGGAGCTGGACCAGGGTGGGCTGGCCCGGACGCCAGGGTCCACGAAGGAGGACCAGGAGGGGCTGGCCCGGACACCAGAGTCCGTGGAGCAGGGCCAGGAGGGGCCGGCCCAGACACCAGGGTCCACGGAGCTGCTCATCCACCTGGTCCCAGGTGGTGACAGAGGGTCCCTGACCCCCTTGTGGGGTCAGAGGTCACCAAAGAGCCCAGGATGTGAGGAGGAGTGGAGTCCTGGCAGCAGGGCGGATAAGTGGGGTAAGTGGGGAGTGACGAAGATGCAGAGACTTTTCCCACTCGGGGTGCTGGCTCCAACCCAGCTCCAGATGGGGGATGGGTTGAGTCAGGGGGATGGGGAATGGGGCCTTTCCCCTCTAGGGGGTGCTGGCTCTGACTCAGCCCCAGGGTGGGGGATGGGGAATGGGGCCTTTCTCCTCTAGAGGGCGCCGGCTCTGACCCAGCCCCAGGGCAGGCGATGGGCTGGTTCAGCTTGGGGGATGGGGTTTGGCTTTGGGTTTTTGCAGTAGTTGCCCACCCACTTGTTGTTCTAACATCCCCTGTTCTCTCTCACCGTAGGTGGGTCCCTCCCATCGCCCTCATCCCCCTGCAGCCCCCACTCGCCACGCCCCTCCCCACACACCAGCCTCATCTCCCGGCCCCGCCCCTCCCCTGTGCGCAGCCGCATCGACCCCTGGAGTTTTGTGTCGGCTGGGCCCCGTCCCTCCCCAGCCCAGTCCCCCCAGCCAGAGCCACGCCGGTGTCGGGCGGGGACCCCCGACTCCAGCAACCCCTTCATGACCTCCGACCCCTTCTTCCACCCCTCACCGGGACCTTTTGACTCGGAGACCTTCGACCCTTTTGCCTCGGCACCCAGATTGACCGGTCTCTCCTGCCGCCTGGACCATGGCCAGCTCAGTCCCTACCCCTCGCCCCCTCCACGCCTCTCCTCTGGCTTTCCTGACCCTCTGGAGCAGACCAAAGAGACCCACCCCCTGCCATGGTGGGTGGCCAGATCCCCGCAGGAGGACAGCAGAGTCCCAAAGTGAAATGGGCGATACAGGAAGTCCTGGCCTCTTTGGACAGTTGCACACAGGAAGTCCTACAACGAAAGTGGGCAATACTGGAAGTCCCACCCTCCTCAGACTTTGCATGGAGGAAGTCCCGCCCTCTTTGGACAATTGCACACTGGAAGTCCTGCCCTCCTCAAGTTCTGGGCACAGGAAGTCCCATCTTGCATGGATCATTGTACCAGATACAAGGCTCAGGTTGGGGTGGTCTCTGTGTTGGATGTTTGGGGAGTGAGGGGAGCTTACACTATACACTGGAAAGGTGGGGGAATTCGGGGGAGCTCCTGTGGGGTAACTGGGGCACCTCCCCTCTCCTTAAAGAAGAGACTAACAATGGCTTGGACACCCTCTGAGCCTGGTGCCATGTTACACATGGCATGAGGTTGTCAGGTCTCTGCCAAACTCCCACCCTGGTCCTCAGAACCACTGCATAGGTAGCGATCACTGTTTGGGAGTGAGGGGCACTGGCAGAGCTGGGGGAGCCCAGGGCTGGGATAGAAGGAGTGAGAGGCACTGGCTCAGCCTATCTGTTATTGAACACTAATAGTGGGCCCCCTCTGTTCCCAGCGGGGGGTTCTGGTGTCTGGGTTGGGGACCAGCCACCCCTCCCACAAGGTAGCAGCCCCTTTTGCTGAGAGCAGGGGGTGTCTTGGGGATATCCCTGGGTGGGGGGGAGGACACTGGGAGGGGTCGATTCGGGATCACCCCCCCCTTGCTACATTCCCGAGCACGGACTGGCTGCAGGTGAGCATGCGCCTTGGTGTGCGTGCAAGGCTGGGAGTGCTGTGTACTCAGGCGAGTGTGCAAAGCATCAGGGCGTGCGCGTGTGTGCAGCTGCCCAAGTGCCTTTGTGCTGGTATCTATGGGTGCGTGCGAAGCCGGAGGCGTGGGAGCACGTGTGAGGGCTGGCCTGGGTGGGGCTGTACTGATACGTGAAGCTGGGCATGCTCGCCCATGCATGGGCTGGAGACAGGTGTGCTTGGGAGCAGCTGTGCCATCACCTGCACTTCCAGCATGGGAGTCTGCTGCTTCCCTCCCCCATCTGTGGGGTCCCCGTTAACTCCATCCCTTCCTCCTGCTGTGAGTTCCTGCCCTGGGGGCAGGGGTGGGGGGCAGGCCATGTCAATACCCCCTGTAACTGCACCAAGACCCCAGGCTGGGGAGCAGCTGAAGCCTGGGCTGCCTGTGGATTGAGACCAAATAAACTCCCAGCTGCCTCCAGCTGCTGCCTGCTGCTTCCATTCTTGCCCCTGCTTTGGTTCCGTCCCCACCCACCCACCCCCTGCAGCTCGCTGCACCCTCTCCCCCGGGTTATGATCTCAGAGCACCAGCAGGAGAATGCACAGGGTGCACTAGGCCCAGGGCAGGCCCTTGAGAGGCTTGGCCACCTTTGCACACCTGCCCGGTATGGGCATGAGCCTAGCATGGGAGGGAGCAAATGTGGGTGTGCAAAGACCTCTGGGTGCAGAAAGGACTCAGCTGTGTGCATGCCCCTCGCATGCCTGCCCGCCGCAGTGCCAATCACTGCTGCTTTACACTGACTGCCTTGCTCTCACGGTGGCCCTGGGCTCATGGTGCTATCCAGGGCACGTGGCTCTGGTGCCTGTGCGAGGGCATGCATGACTCTTGCAGGTTCCACATTTTGCTCCTGGCTTCGTTCAGGCTGACCCCGACTCCAGCCCCAGGGAAGCTCAGGACACCAAAGTGGCTCGGCCCTATTTGCACGCCCGTGCATGTGCATGCATGCCCCTCGCCCGCGGAGGTGCCAAGTGTGGCTTTGAACATCACTGGGGGCTCAGCACTGACCCAGGTACTCTGTGTGCCCACGCATGCAGGTCTCCGGCAGTGCTGCTGGTGCCGTGCGCCCCTGGCACACGGGGGGAAGAGGGGCACCAGTGACTGCTGCACACATGTGCCAGCATGACCCTTTTGCACAGTGAACTTCCCTGGGTGAGGGGATTCCGCCCACCCACCCTGAGCATCAGTGGGGCTGGAACTTCCCAGAGCATCAGCATCCGCAGCCTCCAGCCAAAGCAGGAATCTCCCAGAGTTGTTAGCCACTTGCGGGGGAGCAGCTGGGACTGTGTCCAGCAGGGGGCAAGAGAGACACACACAGAGCAGGGCTCATTCTCCCCAGCAAGGGGATGGACACAGTCTCCCAGCTCGCCCCTGACACATGCAGGTGTAGGGGGTACCTCCGCCTCCCACGTACACACACTTCTGATGGGAGAAGCCCCCCCTTCCATGACCTGTGCAGGGGCCCAGCCCAGCCTGAAGAGTTTCTGCCCCAGGGGGCATTTGGAGGATTGGAGCATGGGTAGAGAGGGGGAACCACTTCTGATTGCAAGAGATTGGTTGTGCTGCTATTATGTGTACTACTGTAGAACCAATACATGCCCCCCCCAACTGAGATCGGTGCCAGGGGCTGCACAGACCCTCACTGAGAGCAGGGCCCCCATTGAGCTGGGTGCCACACAGACATGCCCCCTCAGATCAGACCCCCGTCGAGCTGGGCACTACACAGAGCCCCCGATTTATTTAGACTGTGAGGGACCACTGTGCTCAACTAGTCTGACCTCCTGCATAGCATGGGCCATAGGACGTCCCTGCATGAGTTCCTTCTTCTACCAGAGCAGCTCTGTTAGAGAAACATCCCTGCAAAATTTTAAAATGGGCAGTGATGGAGAATCCAGCACCGTGGGTATGGTGTCCCACTGGCTAGTGACCCTCCCTGGGATCAATGGGGATCTTATTTCCAGTATGATTTTGTCTAGCTTCAACTTCTCGCCACTGGATCTTGTTAGCCATAGCCCTCCCTGGGCTGGCTATCTATCTATCTATCTATCTATCTATCTATCTATCTATCTATCTATCTGTAGGAACAGAGGCTAAAATAGGGAAAGAACAAGTTAAAAATTACTTAGACAAGTTAGATGTCTTCAAGTCACCAGGGCCTGATGAAATGCATCCTAGAATTCTCAAGGAGCTGACTGAGGAGATATATGAACCATTCGTGATTATCTTTGAAAAGTCATGGAAGATGGGAGAGATTCCAGAAGACTGGAAAAGGGCAAATATAGTGCCCATCTATAGAAAGGGGAATAAGGACAACCCGGGGAATTACAGACCAGTCATCTTAACTTCTGTACCCAGAAAGATAAGGGAACAAATAATTAAGCAATCAATTTGCAAACATCTAGAACAGTGGTTTTCAATCCGTGGGTCATGACACAGTACTGGGTCACAGCATGTAAGGCGCTGGGTCGCCTTGCTCTGGTCAGCACCGCTGACCGGGACGTTAAAAGCCCCATCAGCGGTGCTGCCCAGCTAAGGCAGGCTAGTGCCTACCTTTTCCAACACCATGCTGTGCCCCGGTAGCGGCCAGCAGTGGTCCGGCTTGTAGGCAGGGGAGCCACGGGACTCCGCGCGCTGCCCCCACCCCAAGCACTGGCTTCCCAGTCAATGAGAACTGGGGGGGCGGGGGGACACGGAGCCTTTGGGCGAGAGTCACGCGGAGCTGCTTGCGTGCCTCCGCCTAGGAGCCAGACCTGCTGCTGGCTGCTTCCAGGGCGCAGCACAGTCTGCAGTGCACCCTGGCTGCGCCGCTGACCGGGAGCCGCCGGAGGTAAGCCTGTGCCCGTACCTCAATCCCCTGCCCCAGCCCTGAGCCCCCCCAAACCTGGAACCCTCCTGCACCCCAAACCCCTCATCCCCTGCCCCAGCCCAGAGCCCTGACCTCCTCCTGCACCCCAACCTCCTGCCCCCGTCCTGAGCCCCCCCAAACCTGGAGCCCCTCCTGCACCCCAAGCCCCTCAGCCCCAGCCCAGAGCCCTGACCCCCTCCTGCACCCCAACCCCCTGCCCCAGCCCAGAACCCCCTCCCACACCCCAAACCCCTCATCCCCAGCTCCATTGGGTCGTGTGCATCAACAATTTTCTTCAACTGGGTCCCCAGAAAAAAAGTGTGAAAACCACTGATCTAGAAGATGATAAAGTGATAAGTTACAGCATGGATTTGTCAAGAACAAATCGGGTCAAACCAACCTGATAGCTTTCTTTGACAGGGTAACAAGCCTTGTGGATGAGGGGAAGTGGTAGATGTGATATATCTTGACTTTAGTAAAGCTTTTAATAGTCTCGCATGACCTTCTCATAAACAAACAAAGGAAATGCAACCTAGATGGAGCTACTATAAGGTGGGTGCACAACTGGTTGGATAACCGTTCCCAGAGAGTAGTTATCAGTCGTTCACAGTCAAGCTGGGAGGGCATAACGAGTGGGGTTCCGCAGGGACCAGTTCTGGGTCCAGTTCTGTTCAATATCTTCATCAATGATTTAGATAATGGCATAGAGAGTACACTTATAAAATTTGTGGATGATACCAAGCTGGGAGGGGTTGCAAGTGCTTTGGAGGATAGGATTATAATTCAAAATGATCTGGACAAACTGGAGAAATAGTCTGAAGTAAATAGGATGAAATTCAATAAGGACAAATGCCAAGTACTCCATTTAGGAAGGAACAATAAGTTGCACACATACAAAATGGGAAATGACTGCCTGGTAAAGAGTACCGCGGAAAGAGATCTGGGGGTAATAGTGGACCACAAGTTAAATATGAGTCAACAGTGTAACACCGTTGCAAAAAAAGCAAACATCATTCTGGGATGTATTAGCAGGAGTGTTGTAATCAAGACATGAGAAGTAATTCTGCTCTACTCCGCACTGATTAGGCCTCAACTAGAGTATTGTGTCCAGTTCTGGGCGCCACATTTCAGGAAAGATGAGAACAAGTAGGAGAAAGTCCAGAGAAGAGCAACAAAAATGATTAAAGGTCTAGAAAACATGACCTATGAGGGAAGATTGAAAAAAATGGGTTTGTTTAGTCTGGAAAAAAGAAGACTGAGAGGGGACATGATAACAGTTTTCAAGTATCTAAAAGGTTGTTACAAGGAGGAGGGAGAAAAATTGTTGTTGTTAACCTCTTGAGGATGAGACAAGAAGCAATGGGCTTAAATTGCAGCAAGAGAGGTTTAGGTTGGACATTAGGAAAATCTTCCTAACTGTCAGGGTGGTGAAGCACTGGAATAAATTGCCCAGGGAGGTTGTGGAATCTCCATCATTGGAGATTTTTAAGAGCAGGTTAAACAAACACCTGTCAGGAATGGTCTAGATAATACTTAGTCCTGCCATGAGTGCAGGGGACTGGACTAGATGACCTCTTGAGGTCCCTTCCAGTCCTATCTATCTATCTATCTATCCCCAAACACCCCCTCTATCTATCTATCCCAGGGGTGGGCAAACTACGTCCTGCGAGCCATTTTAAGCCAGCCCTTGAGCTCCCACTGGGGAGTGGGGTCTGGGGCTTGCCCTGCTCTGGCGATCCAGCCGGGGCGCTGGGTCGGGGGCCGCACCATGTGGCATGGCCCTGCTCGAGCTATCCAGCCGGGGCACAGGGTTGGGGGCCGCACCACTGCTTCTGGGAGCTGCTTGAGGTAAGTGCCACTCGGAACCTGCATCCCTGAGCCTCTCCCCACGCCCCAACCCCTGCCCCAGCCCTGATCTCCCTCCCGCTCTCCATACCCCTCGATTCCAGCCTGGAGCACCCTTCTGCACCCCAAACCTCTCATCCTCAGCCCCACCCTAGAGTCTGCACCCCTTCCCACACCCCAACCCCCTGCCCCAGCTCTGATCCCCCTCCCGCTCTCTGAACCCATCCCAAAGCACCCTCCTAGACCCCAAACTCCTCATCCCCAGCCCCACC